TAGAGTTGCATGTTAAAGAAAAGGGCAGGAATCTAAAGGATGGAAAGAAGAGCTGGCATTAGCAGAGAGGACGAAGGAATGGATGAGGGAGTCAGAGGGAGGTTTTGTACCAAGGAGCACTATCATAATTGTCACATTTGATCAGGGAGGAACTCTAGTTAGCTTCATGGGCCACTGCTTTTACCAAGCTCCCCCCTTACAGAGGATGCAGTAGGCTGAGCATTAGACACAAACAAGCTCACACGCGCACAGTTTTATGCTGGCATTCATGTATATGGCTGCACACGCACTGACACATGTGCAACCGCACACGTAACTTTCCTCATACAAGCATGCACATCTGCACGCCTACAGAAATAAGACAAAAAGAGAAAATAAAAAGGTGTTTGTGTGCTTGTGTTTAGCACAACATAACTTCCCAAAGCACTCACCTGTCTTGATTTGAAATATAGGCAGACAAGAGCTGCCTTAACACATAGACGAGAGGATCACCGATGTGTATCTTTTAAGAGTGTGAATAGACAAGTAGTGTGCTATTTTTTATCAAACCTTGATGCATTGGCAAACTTCAAAGAGATTACCCAAAAGAGGGATCAGAAAAGGAGAGAATGAATCCTAAAGGCAAGTACGGACATTTAAACACTTTCCTGCAGGACAAATGTACAACTCGAGTAAAAAAACTGCTTTGAAAAATACTTCTGTTGGGTAAGGAAGTTGACAAAGTATCTGTGATTAATTTGGGTCCCTGATACTAGCTAAGTGGAAAAAAGGAAAGTGAAAAACAAAAGTGACAATGCGAGTTCAACCCCGAAGCTCCGGCCTGTCCTCATTTACTCTCATTCATGGGAAGCAAATCAAACACACCATTGGTCAGGAGCATATTTTTTGTCTTTTTTATTTAATGTCACTACTAAGGTTGTACACTTTACACTAAGTCCAAAGAAAATGCTTATTGTCATATTAATACTTAATTTATTGAATGATTACAGCAAAATACAAGGTAGGCTTTTTGGTTAACTATATTGCAACACATGAGGGAAGTGGTAATAAAATGTATTCATTTGGACAAATGGATATCCAGCAGCCATAAACATGTACAGTAGGTATACAGTACATACAGTATACAGTGAAGTGATGATAGTCACACTCTATCCTCATCATTCACTCCTTGATGCTGTAATCCTGCTTTGATGATTTCTTCTTTTAGTTCTTCTTTTAGTGTCTGTACAGGAGCACTCCCTCTGGCTACCGCAGATGTCTGCTAATCAGGTCAAGGGGCCCCATTGACTTGTGCTGATGTGTACGTACATGGTACATATATAGTATGTTATGCAGCGGCAGGGACAATACAGAGCTTGACCTAGCTGCTTCCTGAAGCATGGCCACCAGAGCTGCAGGTCCATCGTTGTGGAATTGTTTTTCGTGTTGATGAAGTGTAATGCAGATGAGGTCGTTTCCTTACAATCATGATTACTGAAACTCAGAATAAAACTGATTCTTTCTTAAGTGCTGATGAATGTTTGACAATAATCAAGGTTTGGTTTATTCTCAAAGTCATGAAAATATGTCTGCACATAGAAGAAGTCAGCTGCTTATTAACCTTGAGAAAAGAGATGCTATATTTGTGCAACAGAGCTTTAATGTCTCAAATGCTATCAAAAAATAGAGTGCAGAAACTTATGTTAAGAGAAATTTCCTTTCGTTTAATAAAATAGAATCTCATAAATATATTTCACCAAGAAGCTCTTAATCTATGTGCTGTCCTCAAACTGGCTATATCGGTTATAGTGTGAGTGTGTGTGTGTGTGTGACTGTGGTTCTGTCTGACTATGTATGCCCAATTGTGTGTAAATAGGCTCCAAATCACCTTCCATGTCCCTCTGAGCTACTGATAGAGCTCTCCATGGTGCTAAAAATCTTCCAATGGTTTTGTGTGCGCGTGCTACTATTTGTGTGTTTTGCAGTGTGTGTGTGTCACTAAAACTATGATCTCTAAGCTTCAATGAGCTGTCCATGGTGCTGAAATTGCAACAAACTAGACATACTCTGCATTCCTTTCCATCATCCAACTTTCATGATGTCACTCTGTGTCACCTTTTCCCTGTTTATTTTGAGTAACAAGGTCACACGAGGTAGCTGGTAAAACCAGCAAGGATGATGAGAATAGTCTTTTATTTCCATAGCTCAATATTACAGATAATCCAATGTCTTAGTGGGCTTTACTCAACAGTAATGGTCGTCAATCCAGTCCAAGTTCTCTAAGACAGGGACAGTGGATGTATAATGCAATAATATGGGTATAATAGGCTTAATACTAAATAAGTAAATTCAACAGGATGAGTCCAATGAAATAAGTCCACGAGGAGCACTCTTAATACGTCCTATATTTAAAAATGTTCCCGTATGAATGAATGTATCAAATAAAAACTAATTTGTGCAAGGCCTGCTGGAACACATCCAGCAGCTGTGGATGGACTTCATACAATGCAGAGCTACATGCTTGAAGCACCTGCCAAGCATCCCCATTGTAACAGCACGGGGAAACATTTATAGGCCTGACAATGTGATTGTTCTTTCCCTGCCAAAAATGTTGCAAAAATAGGCTGTTGTAGTGGATGAAAAATCTCCCTTTCTAGCGATGCTGTTATTCTGGGGTGTTGTCTTGCCAACTAGTTGATGTATGAAGATGTGAGGATGTCATGTTTGAGTGATGTCTGCATACCATGCTGGACATTTAGTATGGAGAGGAGACGGACGTCTGAACATTATCTGTAGCGTGCCTTCTACTAGAATAGTTAATCTTATCAGACTTACTTTTTTCCAATTATTTATTGGGAATTTTACATTTTGAAGAGGGATTTCAGATAGTCAGTAAGTGAATTAAGGGTGGCGAGTGGAGAATTTTTCATCAATATCTGTAGCCACATTATTAGTTGTGATGGCATATTCTAATGCTAATAAATGAGCATGATTACTACAGTCACAGACAGTCTCCCTTTTGATCTGCTTTCTGCTTTCATTTGGTCCAATTTGGGAAGCCACAAATTTGATTTTCTGCAGAATTCTCTCAGGCGAATAGCAAAATGTTCACAGAAAGTCGATTACAAGAGCTGTAGAGGGACATTATCAGGCAGATCTTTTGACAATGGTACATGAAGGAAGATCGCTAGTTCCTCTTTTATAATCTTACACGGAGTACGGACACCAAAACACATGCATTCTGTCCAGACATTTCAGATGCAGTGCAGATTTAGTGTGAATACTACATTATGTATGTACAATGTATCGACTCAATATACTGATGAAAATCTCTAACCACTGCAGCAGGTAAGTAGCATATTTCCGAACATAAAATAGTAACAAATAAATCTACTTTAAAGGCAAATTTTGAACTTGCAGTACTTTCATAGTTCATACACGGCTCTGACACACTGTAATCTAGCAGACACAGTCCCCTGATAGCTTCTATTTTCTCTGTGTCGTCTGCCGCTGCATGTGTTCACTGAGCCAATGAGCAATTTTCAAATTTCGCCTTTTGAAAGTAATACTGTCCACTTTTGTCTTCAAAGATTCAGGGCGGCCTACACTTTCACACACTGTTTGTCTGTATTCCTCTGTGTTCGACTGCCAGTGTAATTTTTGACTGTTCATTGAACAGAAACTTCATTGTATGCAAACGCTTTCATTCCCTGTGGTGTATCTAGTTATGATGGTAAAATCTTGAAATTCAGTATAGCAGTTTAAAAATGATTTAATTTTGCCCCAAAAATGGATGATTAGTTACAGAACTGTGAGAAGACTGCAAAATAGATGATGGATGTATATATGGACATTTGATAATCTGTCTACACTAGAAGAGCTGCACCACTACAGCTCTTCCACCTCCAAGCCTTCCAAAGAAGCACTTCAGCTGACTAATGTCCCACCACTTTTACTCATCCATATGCAAATATATGCTGCAAGCATTCCTCAAAATCTAATCACATCGTCTACTGTATAGAGGATGCCTGGGATACAACTACGACATCTGAAGCCGTGGAAACATTTAGGTGGGATGAACGCATGTTTGTTCAAACCTCTTCTACATGTTGGAATAATTCTGTCAGAGGGCCAGAAGAGCTAACAAGGCAACATATTCTCATGAGACGGTTCGTATGATAACTTGCAAAAACGTATTTTGTTATTTGTCCTGTTTTTCCTACAAATGTCCAGCAACACAAGCGATCAGTGCTCCACAAGCCCCTGCATTGATTAGCAACAAAACTACTTGATTTGGTTTCGGAAAATATATATTTTTTGGGATAAATAACTTCGCAAGTGGTGTTACTCAATATGGAAGTTACATGACAAATAAGTCATCGCTTAGGTTAAAATGACTATGGAAGCGGTTACATAAATTTACCGAGAGGAACTTTTAACTGGTTATGAAATGGTCTCAATTTACCATTGATGCCTCTTTACGACCTACATAAGTAAGCGAGACCATGAGCGAGAAGATTGGCTTTTTATATAAAGTTAATTCTATTGATTGTCATTGGTGCCGCAGGAATGATTCAGCAGGAAATCAGACAAAATCATGCAAGTTCACCAGAAACTCCTTCAGCCCAGACTCAACTGGGGCCTCCGGCAGCGACCAGTCCGTTGGTAACAGACCCAGATCCGGCTGAGATGTTTTCAAAAGGATCTCTGGTGCTCGGAAACACTATCGCTGTGTAAAGATGTTTTGCTTCATTGGACTAACAGTCTTGCTCCTTAACAGGCTACCTCCACTAAAGTGGAGGTAGCCTGTTAATATAGACTGATGCCAAACAAACGGGGAAACGTGACCCCTGTTACAAATACGTGGAATAAGTAGAAGCGAATGTCATTACAACTTTGCATGTGCACTTGCTGTATTTGGAAACTGCGCGTGCTGACGTCACTCCAAGCGATGGTCGTGGGGGTGGGAAGAGCGGGAGGGAGGAAGGTTGTTGTCGTGAACGCGCTCGACGGATCCCCGGCGGAGGGCAGCGAGATCGCGCATCTCTGTTCTCCGCTCTTGAAGCGACTGCAGGGGAGCCAGATGCCTGACTGTGAGCCGCTGCCTGTGGATACCTATCCCAAATGCCAGAGCAGGCGAGAGCCACAGACACATCTCACCATCTGACATGATAGCAGAGAGAATAGGGGCAGTGGACGGAGTACGAATTATTTTTTTTTAATTGATTTTCCTTTTACCTCAACCTCTACTTCAAATGAAGAGCTTCATTGGACTTGGAGTACCGGGCATCAGTAGAAAGAAAATCCGTTATCCCACTCAGCCCCTGCTGCTGCGGTGCTGCTGCCTGTGAGCGAGCTCTCCTCTCATTGCATTGGAATATACAGCGTGCTCATATGCGCAAAACCATGGAGATTATATGACGTGGATTTATTTTTCGAACAAAACTGGACATATACAAAAGCGACGTTTACTCTTCTTTTCGTTTTTGAATTGCCCTTTTCCGTTCTTTCGTTTGATCTGTGGCTACTTTATGATCTCATGTCCTTAGCGATCCTTCCTTGTTTTCATTTATTTATTTTTTTACACTTATTATTATTTTCGGTCTGTTTCGGAGGCGCAGAAGTGGGATGCCTCGCAGAGAACATTTGTGGGGAGAAGAATCCGCGCAGCAGCGAGGGTGAATGAATGATAGTCTCCCTCTCCATCTGAGACGTGCCATGGATGGTAAACTTAATTTGTATCCACGGAACCGATCGGGGAATAGCCGTCGCATCAAATAACTACTGCTGACAGCGATCAGGTAATGCATCTTATCTATTAAACTCAACTGGACTGTTTGCGCCCTGTACTCCAGAATGCTTTGCAGTCTGCCGGCGTATTTATTGATTTGATTCTTGCCATCCGTGTGTTAAGATCGCTGTGTTTAAGTGTAGTCCGGTTTTAATGACGCATATAGTTTTAAACCGAAAGGGGAAACTGGACCCTCATTCTCGCCTGACGTGTATCGGCGGCAGTTCGCGGGGATGTGTGATTAGTGAACCTAAACGGAAGTACCGGTAATAGAAAAATCCTCAAATACATCTCAGCAGTTCAATTACAGCCCATTAGTTGAGCACAGGTGGACAGCAGCAGCCTTCTGAATGCTGAACCCCTCGGTGGGAGACAGGGAGCTGTATGATTGCCTCCGAAGCCTCTGGCAGACCTATAACTTTGCGCAGTGGCCAAAGGAAACACGCACACACCCACGCACACACAGCACATTGTGCGCGCACAGCCTGCACAGACACTTTTATTTCCACCTTCCATACTCACTTGCCTCTCTCAACGCACTCACGTGCTCACGTTCTCCACCCTCCCAACACACACTCGCATACATGCACACGCACGCACAATGATGTTGTGTTCTCCCCTCTCATGGGGGTTTTCCACGATGCCATTTTGAGTTTAGAATACCATTTCTAAATCACTGCTCCTCCACCGACGCTTCTTTTACAGTGCCCCTGATGGCCGGGAATGATTCTGGGCATTAGGATGTCTCCCCCGTGTCCTGGTTCATGTCTAGCATTAGATTAGAGGGCTAAAACCGATGTTTCTTCCCGCATGTGCGAACTGTGCGCCCGGGTGAGTGGGTCCCTTCTCCCGTTGAATGCTAAAGAGCCAGGATGTACCGAAGACGCCAGTGAGCGTGCACTAGGGATTGAAAGGGGAGGGGGAATTGACTTGCATCCGTACTGGCATCTCACCACTCAACAGAAAGCCCTTTGAAAGCTACCTGATCACGCACTGAGTCCGATTTATTTGTGGGCGCCTCTGACTGTGGCGTGCGTCTGCCGCAGTGCCGCTTCTTTTTAGCATACATCCTCCCAGATCTACACCGTGTTATATTCAGTAGAATGATGCGTTTTCTTATCAAGTCTGTGGAAACGGTTTCCTCAGACGCTGGCCTTGTCTAACCCCTGGTAGCGAGCAGGTGGCTCGGTGACGCTGAACGGGAATGACAACCAGGACGCGACAACGGGAGTGCAAAGGAGCCTCCGAGCAACCTCTCTCCGTCTCTTGTTTCTACCCATCTGTTGAGCACGCAGTGTGTGTGTGCACTCTCCCTGCACGCATCTCAAAACAAACTCCCACTGCACTATCAAACCCTCTTTAAATAATGGAGTGTTGGCAGCATGCGACCTCGATTATTGTATTCCCCAAGTACCCATCTGTGGCATGTTGAACAATTTCCTACAATATTTTACTTATTCCACCACTGAGTCGAGCCAGACGTTAGTACAGCAGCCCGCGGGTGAACTGATGTATAGGCTATTTAACAGGGACACTGATTCATGAGCAGTGACTGTCTCTTTGGTTCTTGGCACCGTTGAGGATTTGGATTAACAGGTCAGATTTAGCCAGCAGCATTACTCATATTCTGAATAGGAAGTCCAGTGATCATGAAATTGACTTTTAGGAAACAAAAGCATTAGAAAACTACTCATTATGACCACAGAACAAAGTTAACGGAACACTGACTTCATTTTGGAGACCTCTTTGTACTGTGCGCCTGCCTCCACCCTGAATGGATAATGAATAATAACATCACCTCTTCTTTTTTTAAACGCAGTGAATAACCTTGTTTGTTTTATTTCTCCGGGCTGCTGTCAGAACTAATGGAGCCGGCAGGGCCGTGTCCCCTTTTAGCAGAGATGAGCAAACTGCGGATGATGGCTGATGAGTTGGATGTATGAGAAAACTCCTTTTTTTTAAACCCTGCTGTGTGGAGGACAAAGAGTGGCCAGGGGCATTGGTTGAAGCTGTTGCAAAGTCTCTGAGTCTAATAGCATCATTTGCAACTCATAGAATCCATTCAGGGCATCTGTAGTTTGATCATTCTGAGAACATTTGAAGCAGTGACCTAATGAGCTCAGAGAATATCAGTTTTCAATGTTGCACTCGTGTGATTTTCTTTTTAAAATATATATTAGCACGGCTTCCAGACAAAGTACTGAGAATTTTCTGCTCTTGGTTGTAATGAAGAAAAATATGTCTTTGGAATCTTTCTGGTTACTTTACAGTACGTGCCACAACTTGCCACCCAATAATTTGCCATGCAAATCACATGTTAACCTCCCTGTGGTGTGTGATACATATTTCTAACTATTCTGTTCCAGTAGAAAACACAAGAGACTCATTACTTTTTATAAAACAAACTTAGTTATTTCATTTAGTTTTAAACCATTACAACTGCTCTAATTTATGTTTCCTGCTGCTTTAATTTAGATCATAAAAAAATGCATCAAATCCTTTTCACCCATCTTTATATAGAAAAAAAAATACCTCAAGTGGTATCTTTTGGTTTTATTTGGCCAGTATTAAAAAAAAAAAAATTGTTATAGAAACAAAACACCACACAAGTTATTTCTGACATAAGAAAAGTTTTGCTCCAGTCAAAATCAGTCCCCACCAGTGGGACTCCTGACCAACGGTGTGAATGTCAGGAGAGAATTCAGCACCCTGGACAGCAGCAGTGACAAAATTACATTTGAAATCAGTTCAAACATGCTTCAAAAAACAAATCTCTAGGTTATTGTTTACAGCATGCTCTGTGGGCTAGCCACAGTAAGGCGGACTATTTTTCTAGAAAAAAGTACTTGCACTTTCATTTTTAAATATATATTTAATTAGTACCACAAACAACTCCATTCAACGCTATATACTCTATGCTATGCTAAGATCATTTATATGATATCAATAGTGTGGCAACATAATCTCAGAGACGGATGACTGTAAACCTAATCAAATAAAATCCAAACTATATGATATTACTAGGGATAGTTAAGAAATGTACTTATTCTGTCATTTCAAAGATATTTTAAAGTGACTGTTACTGACTGGTCGACTATATATTAAACCTTGAATATTCCAAAGTGTATCATATACATCAGGTTGACATCTGATGTACCTGTATTGTATTTTATGGTCGAAACTAACCAATGTGATTTATTGATAAAGAAAATCACACATGAACATTTATTTCGTATGAATGTTGTCCAGTATCTGTGAATTATTATGGTGGAAAACAAACATCCTCATTCAGCTTGTTGAATATTTAGTTCAGTTCTACGGCTACAAGAGTGAGTGTGTGAGAGTTCATGGACATGGTTTGCCGAATGTAGTAGTGATGGCATGTTTAGGTTTTCTTTTTCGGCTGGAGTTGTTCCAGAAGCAAAACCCTCCGCTCTGTATGTCCCTCGCCAACATGGTCGAGGACATCTCCAGAGATCTCTCTAGCTCCCAAGAGCGTCCTTACGGGGAGCTCTCCGTGGTTCCAGCAACGATTTTCTCAATGAGATCAAGTGCCTTATTCACAGTTTCAGTCAGATGCTTGCTTATTGTGGCGCTCCCACAGAATGACATGTTGGCAAGATGGTGAAGCCTCGTATGTTGCTGCAAAGCTGAAGTGCAAGAGCTGATCAGTGTAGGAAGGTGTCATGTTGTAGGCAATGTTTTGTTCACTCAGCCCTAAAGGGTTGTAATTTTTCGGTCTCATGACGGGAGAAGTGCGATATATGAATGTTGCAAGAATTGATGCTTGGCTGTAACTGGTTGTGAAAACTCCTCTCTTGGAGTTTTATATAACCATAACATTGAGTAGGAAGGAAACCTCGTGGCAATTAGATGAAGGAAAAATAATAAAGTTGTGAATGTGTCAATTTTGACCATGGCACAGCAGGAAGGTTAAATGAGATAGAGATATGAGACTGCATGTAACGATTGCGCCATCATTGAATGATCATCTGAGCAGGTGCTGGAAATGCAACACAAGTGACGGTGTGACACATATCAGCTGGAAATGAAGACCACCCAGTTATGTGGCAGTTTGATAAGGCCTGTAATGTGATACTAATAACATCTGCCCATGCACTAATGCTTCTCTCTCTCTCTCTCTCTCTCTCTCTCTCTCTCTCTCTCTCTCTCATACATACACAAACCTCTCTCTCACCTATCTCTCCATTTCTCCGTCACACTTCTGCTCAAGCAAGTCTGACGGGCAAATGTGCAAAAGCAGTCATTACCACACACACACACACACACAGCGGTAGGGATAAATTACAGTAGGCAAAATGATAGTGGCACCTGTTTGCTTGCATGCTGTTTAAATGCATATGGTATAGGCACCCGGCAACAGTTTTTCTTGTTTGCTTTAAAATAGTCTGTCACCAAATATGATTATCCATTCGTACACAGAACTGGTAAGGCGCAGGTTGATGTCTTATTTTAAGTAGGGTACGGCTATCTTCTTCTTTCAGTGTGGTCGGGTCAACCTGTTCCAGTAGTATTCACCAACAACAAGGCTGAAGACATCTAAGAAATGTTCCTGTCAGCTCTCTGCACACCAACCTTCACTGGCCATGGCTACAGCTTAGCAAGGGCCAATGAGGGGAAAACAAAAATGTACATGTTGAGCTGAATCCAGAAGCTGAAGTTGCATAGTATAATTAAAAAAAGAAGCGGAAGGGATTAGAGGTGAATGATTTTCTCATGGCAAGTATCTACTTTTCTTTTCTCTTCTCTACAGCGTCATATAGTGTGCCCTCCTACTTCTTATGCTCTGCCATGCTCCATTTGGAGTCACAGATGCCTCCGTCACTGGGGCGACATTCATTTGGCGCGGCCCCGGGTGACTGTGTCAATATTTGCACTGAGTGCCATTTTGTTTTCCGGGCGCTCTATAAGCATGACTGGGCTTGGGCGAGGCTAAGGCTAAAGGAAGAACAAGGGGAAAGAAAAACCACGGCCCTATAGACTCGCTCTCTACAATTAATTAAGCCTTTTGGCAAGAACAGTGAAAGGATGGGCCTCCTTGGGAAATAAATAGGTTGGAGTTGCAGGAGGATGAGGGGGGAAAACAAAACAAATTAAATGCCTAGAATTGCAGGGATGATTCACATCTCTGATTAATATTGATTGTGCGAGGGATAAGAAACTGCCACATTACAACCATGGAGAACAGTTAATTCAATTTGTTTCTGTGTTAATAACTCTCTTTGTGCAAAGATGAACGTGGAGTTTTTACTGGGCAATGACGGAGCAATTTGAGGTTGTTACTTGGTGTGCGTGGAGCTGTGTGCTTGTGTGCGTTTGAGCATATTCCTGTCTGGTAACAGACTGCGTTGCAAAAGTAATATTTGCCTTTTATGTAATGTTTTTCATAATGTGTGGCGTTTGGGGATGGAGAACGAGCAAGAGCTGGCAGATTGTATTGATTCAGAGGGTCTAAATCTGCTTCTTTTTTTTTAAAGTGCAGTACAGGAGGGCCCGCAAGGTTCACATAAGCCAACTTGTTTATTGAATGCTTCTTCTTTGGTTGCTTCTTAGCAACTTATTGAACTTTTAGTCCCACCTTTTTATTTTCCATCCCATCTCTATGTCGCTTTCTGCTCTTGTTTGTCTCTATATTCTTGCAGATTCCATAACATTACTATGCACACACTCCAAAACACCTTCTTATCTATTTTTGCTTACCCTTATTATGTAATGGAAGATTTCCACATTTCCACAGAAATACGCATGCAGTTGCTGTCCTTTGCAGCTCACGCACAAGTAGGCGGCTAGTTCCACTGCTTGACTCCTCGCTCAGAGGCTCACAGACTCCTCTGCCTTAGCCTACTGGCCTCGTCTTCTGCAGAGTCCCCCCCCCCCCGCGACACCCATCGGCCTCTATTACGGCTCCTTATAGCAGAGGATGCTTTGTGTTCGCAGGCCAACAAGTGGAATACTGTGCTCTGCGGAAGCAGATGGAAAGAGCCTGGACTCCTTTGTGGTGGGATCTAACAGGATCTGATGCGTGCGTGTGTCTGTGTGTGTGTGTGTGTGTGTGTGTATTTGTGCGTTTGCCCAGTGTTGCAAGTGTCGACTTGATAAATAAAATGTCTTGTGCGTCCAAGTGATTTAGTGGGATCCTATATTAAAAAGGTTTATTAAAAAAAAAAAGTATTACAGTAGCATTATTCAGAGGAGGTTAATGGGTATAAGTCATTACTGTTAAGAGCAATTAAGTTGAATAAGGCCTCCGTCAACTCCATAGGCTACTGCTGTACATCAAATGTCTTCTTTGAATCTGCTGTCCCTGTCTGTTTGAATGAACATCCGCCGAGCATTCAGGGGTAGCATGCTGTGATTTGTATCTGCTGCCAGTTTTCATGTTTCATTAGTTCTGTGTGAGTCAGTGTCCTATATGTGGGAACGTTGATGCATGTGCGCTCATCCATGCCTGTGTGTGTTTTTTTAGAGAACCTCACCAGGTCCAGTGTGTTGTCAAAGCTGCGGCATAAATGAAAGGAAGTGGACAGGTGGGATTCCAGTCCAGAGGCATGCATGGTAGACGCACAGTGTGGCAGGTGTGTACATATGCAGAGTTGCCATAGAGACATGGTGATACTGCAGCCTATAATCATGTTTTCTGTATATCTTAAAAATGTAGGCCTTAAGATTAATAGAGATTGATTGTGTGTCTTCGTGATTTGTTTGCAACCTGAGGCTATTATGCATTCTTCAATGTCTAATTCCTGATTTCTTTGGAATGTGAGAGGGGGGAGAGAGGGTGAGGGAGAGGGAGAGAACAAGTGAGAGAGAGGTTCTACTGTAATAGCTTTAGACTGCACTGAATGCAAATGTGGCTCTCCACAGTGGATAGAAGTATATATATTATTGAAGTAATTCCTGAAACTGTTAAACAGACTCATTTATGGAGCGAAGGAGGCTTAAGGTATAGGTCAAATGGCTGCATCCTGTGAAAAGACTATTCCACTAATCTAGCATCACGGTGACAGACTCACGATGGGCAGTTAAAACAAGCATTTCATTGTTTGCTACAGGAGATTAATAGTTACTAAGTATTTAGTCCCAAAACACATTTGGCTACTTTTAGGTTTAGTAGAGAAAAGTACAGATTTTTACTTCAAACTAAGATGGCTTAGAAATCATTTTTCATGTTGCTCATTTGGTTTCAACTGTTTAAATGAAATAGAGTAGATAAGACATAGATTGTTTTTAAATACATTTTTTGATTAATTGAATGGTATCAACATCTACTGGACTATCTAGCACATTTAAGCGTTAGATTGCATTCTTTGTTGCCAAAGCTGCGCTAACTCTGCATTTCAAGTGCAGAGGGGAGCAAACTAATGCACAAAGTATAACTTCCATTTACTTCACCAGAACTTCAATATCCATTCCTGGCAGCGTATATAAGTGTTCCAGAGTAGCAGCGAGTGGAGAGATGTGATTTCATGTCGAGTAGCTTTTTTTGAAAGTGGGATTGTTGGTTCTCTCTCTCGCCTCCTCTCTAAGTGCATTTGATTTCTCTCGTGAATTTGCAGGCTGTGTCCCTTGAGCCACTAATAGCACGTGTATGTGTCCACTCCCTGCATGGCAGCACAGATGTTTGCTTTAACGACACAAAGTGACAGTGTTTGTGATGTGTGACTGAGTTTGGGACAGTTCAGATGAACTGATTTCAGAAGTCACAAAGAGCTCCAGTTGTTTCTCTTATTTCCCTTTGGACCATCATCTTTTGTTGTCTCTGTTCATTCATCAAGTGGTGTCACACACAACTGTGAAAGTGTTCTTGAGTTAAACGTTTTCACCCCTGAGTTGACAGGTCTTTTTCTCAGTTTTTGCGTACATGCAGCAAATCTGGACCTGTGTGCTTCCGTTTCCATATTTCCATACTTTGCATGCTTTTACGCCACCTTTCAATTCTGCTTTGTGCTGTATAATACAAGTGAGGGGCAGCATTGATCACATTTGCTATAGAGCGGGAAAGGAGCAGGTTTTCTGCAGCTGGGAAGGGAATAAATACAAAAATGTTTTGAGCGGTGGGAGGAATTGCTGCTAATTCATTCTGTTCACAAACCCACGGGATTATGTGTGCCGAATTTAATGGAATTTTATGGAGAATATATTTATCCCGGCGTCCTTATCGGTCAAATTTGATCTGCTTTGGTGTCACCTTATTAACAATATCAGGACTTCCTAATAATAGGCCCATGTCCAAAAAACATTGTTGGTTATTCTGAAGCAAGTGCATTCTAGAGGATGTGTTTGCCGAGGTTTATGTAAATGAGTGTGGACAGTATGGTATGTAAAACTTTAAAGAAGTAAAACTTCAAACTTTAATTAAAGCACCATGTGGCCAAATGATCATTCATTAGGTCCTTTGTGGTTCTAGGGTTAATTATTTACCATCTCAAGGGTAACTGAGCAAATGTATGGACATGGAAAATAATAAGGTTGAAAAAAAAAAAAAGCTGCAAAGCAAATCAGGTTATGCCTTGCAGCTTTAAAGGTCTAAAAATGAGTTACTGCAGGTAATAACATGACTCTTATTTCCATGGAAATACCATAGAGGCTTTTGGAGCCGGACGGTGGTCTCTTCACAGATGCCTTGGGTAATTTACGTCTCCCCACTAAACATTGCGACCAAAGGCTGTGTCATCATCTGGCCCTCCTACTAACATCCCAGCAATTAGAAAGGTAGATGAAATGAGACTGTTGCGGAGGCTAGCGATGTAATTAAACTTGGAGTCAGAGGCCACAGGGTCCTGATGGAGTAATACCTCTCTGACCCACACAGTGTGTGTGTGTGTGAAGGCATCGCCACAATGGTTCAAGTGTGTGCTCTCCATCAATATGGTTTGTCTCTATTGTGTAAGTGCTGTGTTTGGGTACCACCGGTTGCAGAAAGAAGCACATACGCAAGATCATGTGTTGACATACAGAAAAAAACTTGGATTTGGACTGACAGAGGCCAGCATAATATACAAAATTATTATTACATTAGAGAAAGCTTTTATCTTTAAAATCCACAACTAATCATAATCTGCATTATGAACAGCTGCCCCAGAAAGCACATTACTAGTTTAAAACAAGCACACACTCCATACACATGCACCATATGTTTGAGAATGATATAGCAATACAAACCTTGTGACTGTGGGGTGATGCAGAGCTTCACCGCTAGATTCAGATGGATGTGTGTAAATAGATCAATTATTTGGTTATCACAAAAAAAAAGCCGTCATTTTAGTTGTCAACCTTTTCCTATAACCTAAGCCATAATAGGCACATCTTTGTTGTTGCAGGGGTACATATGCCACTGGATATGTGAAAGTATAGTGTCAAAATGTGCAGATATAGCACAAATCATGATACATTTACAAAATACACAGTAATCAAATGCGTATGTACGTTGAGTGGCGGGCATGGTTTCTGTGACCATATTAAAGCATGTGTTCTCACAAAGCGCTCTAAAAGATCAAATAAGCCATAATAACGTCCCCATCTGTGGGTCATGTGGTTTATAGAAAGTGAGATATGATAGTTTGCTCTTTGATTTGTTTCATCATATATAGCTTCCGCTGAAACCACTCCCACGAGTGTGTTCTGCTGACATGGAAGTGGTTTGGTTTGTAGTAAATAGAGGCTGTAAAAGACCAAATTGAATTGTTTGTTGGCCAAGTGTTAAGCTAAAGCTTTATGACATACTGCTTGGCCATATTTTGCCAGTGCCCGCTTCAAACTAACACAGCCATACAGTGCAATTTAAGTCGTTAATCAGTTGCCGTTCCTCTGCTCAAATTGTAATGAGTTGCCTCAGGGTCTTACAGAAAGAGTTAGCTATTCTGGGAATTAGAAAAGCACAGGGTGATTGTCCCAGCTCTGATCTTTTTTAACGCATTATCTCCAGTGAAGCCCCGATGCAGGATCATAAAGCATCTTCTTAAACAGCACGATTAGAGGTAACATGTTTTCATGTGTGTGGAGGATTGGAATACTCTCAGTTTAAGAACTCTGCCCTGAAACGTGACGATGGTATTGGCTCCCTTACTAAATAACAAATTGAATACATTTGTTCTTTTTTCATTTCATATCACAACTGTGATCTTAATCTTTTTTTTTTTTTCATCAAGTTGTACTTTGAGGTTTTCCTTTGTTGCTTGTGTGTGACCCTCCACCTGTTTTTATAATATTTTTGACTGCGCATACATACATTTTTAACCAGAGTGCGTATCACAGCAGATGTTGCCACTCTGATTTAACGTTGCATCTTCCCACTGATGTTAACCGTGTTCATTCAGAAGAGAAAAAGCTCAGGGTTGACACAGCGAACAGATAACATCCCACAGTGGGACCCTAACTCCGCAGGAACATAACTGCATGCATCTTTATTTCTCTGTCGAACTAGAACTTTTCTCCTCAGTCTAAGCGCTCTGTGCATAGTCACACGCACGCCATGCTTCCCTCTCCATGCTGCGACACATACTACGTAAACACAGCTTGAAACATTGTGACACATGAAATCTTGTCCTATTACAATTACAGCTCAGCTGACGCCCTTATCCAAGAATATATCCTGAGCTGTGCTTTTCTCCAGAGTGGCTCCCTGTTGCTATGTCATTTTTCTTACTCTTTGGAACTCGCACGGGCACTGAGTTTAACCCGCTGATTTTGATAGAGAAGTAAATATGATGACTGTGATCTTAAAAGGACAGGGTGGAAATGTAAATACACACAAAATATAGTTTAAACAAGATGGATCCATCTAGTTTAAATGTTTGGCATTCTTGCATTAAATGTTATCCACTTTAAACTTGACAGTAAGGTGTTTTAACCGTATTCGTGTGCACTGATCAAGCTGATTTACCAGCATAATCCCAAATACGATCTCTTCTTGGATACATATGGAGCTTTTTGGTGCACTCACAGCCGGTCACTACACATGAACATTAAAATCAGCCATTAGTACCATATGACTCTCTCTATATGTGCTCAAGTGAAGCAGAAAATCCCTGGTGATGCTTTGATAGGTTTTATTGCTTGCAGCCTGACAGCGTTTTAATTCCCCTTGCGGTTCCGGTATCATAGCAGCCCAATCTCCTCTCACCACACCATCAGCACCTTTCTCCCGGACCCAATTTAGCCAGTGATGCTAAATCTAGCCCGCTAGAGACTCAAGTTATTCAGAACAGTGCTTTTGGTGGAATAGCACCCCAGCACCTTTAAGGAATGGGCCGCCTCGGAATGTAATTAGATGCTGGCTGCCAATCTCTCGCTATCACTTGGGAACTGGCTCGTGGGTCTCTTAATGGAGATGGTCTCTGCATGCACGTATCCTTTTGGAATTAGAGCAGAACTCACTCTCAAACCAGTGTGTTAAACATCAAAGTCTCTTGTTAAAATGCCCATTTGTTATGAATGTCCCCCGTTGGATCTGATCTCATTTACTAAATGATGTTTTGTTAAACTTGCACGTCTTGTAAAACAAATTCATAACATTCACAAAGCAGCAAGGCTGTCTATAATTAGGAAAGCAGCGGTATTTGCTTCCACGGAAAAG